AGAGAGAGAGAGAGAGAGAGAGAGAGAGAGAGAGAGAGAGAGAGAGAGAGAGAGAGAGAAACAGACAAGCAGAGCATGATTATCACGTTCACTAATCATCTGATCATGCCCAGCTGATCACAATGAACATAGGGTGCTCAAGGTGACAATCATGTTCATTGTACTAACTACTGATGATATGTTGTTCTCTTCTTCGTTTTGTTTTCATTTTCTTTTCAATAGTTCACGCCATTTCTCAACTTATGCCTGTCATCCTTGAGCAGACGCCACGAGACATTCACACATGTCGATGCATTGTATCTGTAAACTTTCGTGTGTCTGCGTCCACTCAGGCTGTGAACAAATTTCCTGTGTGCTCGCTCAGCGTCATTTTCCCTGCATAGTGTGTCTGACACGTCCACCTCTTGGTCCTGTGCCCTTCTGGTGCACCGCGGCATCGCCGCAGCGGGTCCACTTGCTTCATATTAAGTTTATTATTTGCTTCCGACCACTCAAACCTCCGTTGGTGAAAACAAACAGAATGGCTGTTTGCAATTAGTCGCAATTTTAGAGCATAATAATGACAGAACACAGTTTCAGAAAGGAGAAAGTCCTCACGTACTGTAACATGCCCAGATGGGCGATGTACATAATAACCGAGGATCCGCAATGTGATAAAAAAGACTGAATGGACAATGCAGTGCAAGTAGAATCTCAACAAGCAATGTGCATTCTGATACATACAAATGGTCCTGAATAGCGCAGTGGAAGACTTAGATACAAGTCCTGACCTGACCGGGACTGACCTCATTCACGTATGATACGATAGCGAAGCAGAATGCTAGAATGCTAATGACTAGCCCAATCAATGTTTGAACGCAGACCAAACATACATCGTGTCCGTCACAAAGTGTGAAGGAGTCTGGCGCTGTACACAGGAAGGAAGCGCCAGGTCCAGACATACACAGACGAAGAGGAGGGGATCAGACGAAAGGAGGGAGAGCGATGGGAATGTCATCAACACCAAGCCTTTGTCGCAAGTCCCAAATAATCCCTCGTCGTAATGTCTAAGCCCAAAAGTCGAGTCTGGATCCAATGTCACCAAGCTCTCTCTCTCACTCTTCTCTCGTAGTCTGCAGATGCAGTGAAGTCAGATAAGGAGAGGGTGAGAGGGAGAT